AGCAAACTCATCGAGTGCATTTATGGTCGTGGGGGGGCTTTTCATAAATTAAATTTTTACACCAAACTTTCACTTTAATGATGTGGCTGCACTAAGTGAATGACTCACTTCTTCTGTTAAACTACAGGAATTATGATGTAGTCAGCTTAGCATTACTCAGCAGAGATAGCAAAAATAAAACGCTAATATTTTTACATTGATATCTTAGACTGAGACTGCTTATAAGCATAGTAAAACATTGTTACTTTGCAGTGTTACTGGTGTCATTTCATTGGCTAAAGGGAAAGATTTACAGCACATGCTGAAAGTCCTGAAAGCTGAACTGATATTAACTGTTATGTAAGAAGCAGATCTCTGTCTTTTTATTGATATAGTAAAGCTCAGAATTAATAAGCACCTTCAGAGTGTGTGTGTGTGTGTGTGTGTGTGTGTGTGTGTGTGTGTGTGTGTGATAGAGAGAGAGAGAGAGAGAGAGAGAGAGAAAGAGAGAGATAGACTCGTTTTCACCTTCTCAGGGAATAGAGTGCAGTGTAACAGTTGTAGCTGCAGGGTGTCTATCAGTCTAAAGCAATTTAATCTCTCTCAGTCTCTCCATCTGCTGCCCTCCCCTCCCTCTGAGGTGGTACTATATAACATACGGTATGCATCACTTTTAGGCTTGTGTAGATATTAAAATTTTATATGACAATTACTTTTATTCCAGTTTATATGAAATACTTTTATCCTAGTTTATGACAATATCGCAGTATTGTATTAAAAAAGGGCCTTAAGTACAAGTTACTTGTTTTTCAGGAGATATTTCTGAGGATAACAAATGGTAATCAATTTACATAAGGAAGGAGTAAGTCAAAGGAAAATAAGCTCCACTCTTGTTTCAGATCTGTCCATCCTTCCACTGTGAGAGAGCAGCTCAGCACTATGGGTTTGAAATAATGTGTAACTGTCAAGAAGCACTTACTGAGTAAAGGAAATAGGCAAAAAAGAAGAAAATCTGCAGATCGAAGAAGCTGCTTGTGTTCTCAGAATAATGAACTGACCACCTCAGAGTCCAGACCTCAACATCACTTAATGTGTCTGGGATTACTTGGATTGTCAAAAGTAGAAAATGCAACCAACTTCCAAGACTTTGGAGGTGGGAAAAATATCCCTGCAGACTTCTCTGAAAAAGTGAAGTCAAGTCTTCTGAAAAGAAGCAGTTATAAAGGCACAATTACAGATTTCCATCACATTTCTATTCAACCGGAATCCTTGCAGTGTAACTTTAGCTAGCATTGTATTTGAATTTCAGTAGAGCAACATGGTAAAAGAGATTTCTAGAGATTTCTGAACTGAGCAAACTGATTGGCAGCTGGTCTAAAATTGCTGAAGTGTTGAAACTGGCATCAACCAGATTGTTGAGTTTCATTATTTTGGTACTATACAGAATGAAATGCATTTGATAGCATTTTTTCCAGCACATGAAATTAAGCTTGCACACGGTTCCTCTGAAAGCACAACACACACACATCCAACTCTCCAGGCAGTGTGTGTGAGAGACACCAGGCCAGTTCAGGTTCCAGATTTAGCCTCTTGTTTGGAGCTGGGTTTGCATTCTCAGATGAAAGACATTTTTCTGAATTAAAGCAGATTTCAGCGCTGGGAGAACAGAAGCTTTGATCTGCAGATTTTCTTTGGGGTGTGTGTGTGTGTGTGTTTATGGATAGTGACGCAGCTCTGAGCTCAGAGACAAGAATAAGCACACGGGGATTTCCCGTACGCAGCATACAGCCCAGATACGCACATAATTAGACAGTATACTAGTGTACTGTTATAATATGTAACTTCCATTGTTAGCGCTAAGATTATGGCAGTTCACATGAACACTTTTGGAAGAGGCTAAAGTTAGTTTCTTATTCAGATTTTCCATTTGACCATAAACTATGCAGCACTTACAATCTGGTTCCTAAATGTGCCAGAGTGTAACTGCTGCAACATTTAAGGTAGAATGGAAAATTACAAAAGGTGACATATTACAAGAAAAAGCTGAGTAGTGAAACATAAAATGTGGATGTTTCCAAGAGTACTTCATGAGACAGTTATGCAGCTACCATCCTACCATGCTTTGTAGCACATAAAAAATGCTGAAAAAAGACCCAGCTGACCTCAATTTTAGATGGCAAGAGGAAAAGATGTAAGTGACTTTGAAAGAGGGTTCACTATTGAGACAGGAGCTTCAGTCACAAAGACTGAAGAATAACTAAAGTCCCTTCTGCATTTAGACCCTTGGGAAAGACATCTGTAAATAGGATTGGAAGTTGTGGTTGAAAGCACACCTTCAGTCAGTGTGACGCTTGTGTATTAGTGCAATATGTAAAAAAAACAAAATGCCAAAAAGCAGTTGTTTCTCAAGTGACTGAGAATGTCAATGCACACTTAATCACACTGTGTCATTTAAAACAGTCGATTCACAACTACATAGAGAGAGGTTTTATCAGTGGCGAAATGCGAGGCTGATGTTAGCTTCTTATTTGAATTATCCATTCCACCTTAAATGGCGCAGCAGTTACATTCTGATGCATTTAGGCACCAGAATGTAACTGCTGCAGTATTTAAGGTGGAACAGAAAATTCTTTGGCACCAGAATGTAACTGCTACACTGTTTAAAGTGGGGCGGATTTGAAAACGGCTGTTCTAGTTTAACCACAGACATGTGAAGCTTCTAAAAGACATTTCATGTTTGCAGCTTGTGACAAACATATTAGCATATAGTTTACCTTGTAGCAGTTTCACAGTGACTCTTTCAGTAGAAAGCCTTTCAGTGGAGTTATTTTCCATTTCAAAAAACCCACTGATTAGGCTGCCGCTATTATTCAGTCAGTGATGTATCTAGGACTTCCAGAAGGACTAGTGTGATGTTTTTTCTTACAAAATTGGTTCCACCCATTGGAAATCAATCAATTGGTTGGTTCCTCTGTCACTTCGTAATAATGCTGATGGTTAGTCTAACATAGCATTTGAAAACTGACCAATCAGGAATTGTTTGGAATTGTATCTATTTAGTTATATCTAAGCAAGCTCTTCTTGAAATGCAAGACTTGAAATGCTACGTTAGACTTACCCTCAGCATTGTTACGAAGTGACACAGGAATCAACCAATCATGTTGATTCTGGTAAACAAAAAAATAACTAAAAATTACGGACATTTTTTAGTTCCCAGAAATCAGTAGGCCATCTCTAAAGGATTAGATGGGCCTGAGGGTTCCCCTCTGGATATTATAGTAGGGTTGCAGTGCATAAGCCCCTCATTACAAAGACATATACCATATATTTAACATATATACCATCTTGTATTGCACTTCTGCTATGTCTTATGTCTGTACTGCTTATCTTTCTTTCTAGGTTTTTAGCACTGGCTTATGTTTCTGGGAGTATCTTAGTTTAGGAGTAGCTTAGACTATTTATTTTAGCTAGGATACATTCTGAGTTGAGAACAGAGTGCTTTTGTAAGTCATTCACGATAAGAGAGTCTGCTAAATGCTGTAATATGTATATGTAAAAGATTCAATGTATTTACTAATTTGAATATTCTACAACTAAAAGCACTAAAACTAAAGGCAGCCACTGCTGAGGTGTTCTTGCTTAAAGCATTTCTCACAAAGGCCTCGTGTGCCATGGTGCTTAATTCTGTCAGCCACATGTGGGAGTGACTTTAGCATGCCAGATTAAAAATTGATTTAACGTAATGAGAGTACAGAGGAAGAAATAAGTAAGGAGAAAGCCTAAAGCGGGGGCAATGAAGGGTAAAAATCTGCTAAAAATGGGAGGCAGATTGTGAAAGCCAGATTGAACCAGACTAAGATGAACCCAGCCAGATGTGGTGCAGTGCAAAATGTGCCTTGATGCCACTATGGTCAACAATGCGCCTGAATTTGACGTTTTATTTATTAAGATTGCAGCCCATTACGCAAACTGCATGTAGTCCTGGCTGCTAACCGCTCACTCGTGAGGTGCAGGAGACAAAAACAGAAAATGAGATAGAACAGATAGCATGACTGCTGCTTTCTTGATATCAAACAATCACATACAACTGCCACAATTAAAAAAAATAATTGGAATAAAATAAAAACTCTATTATAGATGTTGACTTGGTTGGCTAACCTATGACAATAAAAATCTAGTTCGCTTCTGGTTTTGTAAACCAGAAACACATTTCCATTGAAATATATTCCATTAATGCTATTGAAGAGAAAGAAAATGCATAATGCAAAAACTGCAGGACCTCCAAAAGCATTTCTTTGGCTACTGTAAGGAAACTCAACAATAACCCAATGTAAATGAATGTCTGTTTTTAAAAAGCTTAAGTAGGTTGACTCAAAACCTACCAATATATTGGAGCAGAGTCATCTGCCACACATTTAACATGTCGCATTTTGCATTTTACCGTGCACTTGTCCCACAAACTGCACATTATTGCACTAGTTTTGTACATAATATACAAGCAAAATGCATCGGATGTGCACCTGAGACTTAGTACATCAGGCCTTCTGTTTTGCGGCCTCATCTACATAATTTCATTTCTATGTTCTAAGTCAAAACTGAATTGTACAAACACATTTATTCTTTTTTAGTAAATTTACATCTGCATGTTTTATTGATGTATGCATTATAGGTTTTAAGAGTGCAGGCAAACATGTATTTAAAAATAAGGCCATATTACTTGATTTGTAAGGAATGTATTAAGCTATAACCCCCTCAGCAGCTGCTGCCTTTTTGTTTTAGCACTTTTAAGATGACGTATTAAGAAAAATGATATTAATTTTGCTGCTCACTCCACACAGTCAGTGGTTTATTGTAGCTTGCTATCTGACTATGCTGGCTGTTATGAGTGTGCTTGTGGAAAGAAAGTGCAGAAGTGCTAGCATTTCTTTGGTATGAAATTATAGGAACCTCTGGCTGGGCTTCTTGCATGTAGCATTTAGACCCACTGTCTAATTATTATGTATATGTTTGTGTCTTAACAGCGTTTGACAGGCTGTTTGCTAAGTGCGGCCTTTTTTGGAGCTCTGGGATCCTCCTTCCTGTATGGCTACAATCTATCTGTGGTCAACGCCCCTGCGCAGGTCAGTTACGCTGCTTTCCTGCTCTACTACATTCTGCTGTATTCTGCTTTGTTTTTTTAGAGGAAGTCTGTAAAGTTATTAGATGATGTAGTCATGAATCCTTGCTTTAGTCAATTGCAACCATTCAACCTGTGCCTGGTGGGTTGAGGCTCGCTCAATTTTATTATCGGTCCACCCAAAATACTAAAAAATGCTCAAATTTCGTCTCAGTATTGAACTTTTAGGAATAAATAAATCACAAACACAAATTAAATGCCCTGACAGATTTTCAGTGCTTAATCCAAGCACTAGGCCTCATCACTCTGTTAGGGGAAGTATGAGCTTATCGAGTCCTGCATTAGCATGCTGTATTAGCAGTGATGCTCTCAGCAGTTTGGAGATAGATTTGGGGAGGACCCTTATGTAGATGTGAGGATTAGAAGTGTATGAATATGACTTATTTTAAGCATGAACGTACAGCACAACACAGCCAGTAGCATTAACTAAGTACAGTAACTCTAAAATCCTCCATACTGCAAAGGCATAAATGCTAGAAATGACCATGTTGATCATTATTGTTCATGTATGCAAAGCAAGAGGTCCTTGTTAACGTCTTTGTTAATCCATTGCCATATTCTATATCTATGAAGTGCCTTATATGACAAAATATGTATGAGGAAATGCAAGGATGTGGAAGAGGTTGAGGAACTGAGAGAGAGAGACGGAATCCATGTGTAAAAGAGGCTGAAAGTTTGTTCACAAATGCAAAGTACTGTGTGCCTGCAAATTTGTCATGCCCATCCAAAACAGCAGTACTGGCTCCTGACTTTGTTGTAAACCTTATTTACAACAGGTCAAGAATGATGTGAGGTTCTTTTGGAAAGATGTGTTCTTTTAGTGCTGCTCTGTGCAGAAACACTACTTTAGCACTGTTTGCTGTCATTGTTCCTGAAGAAGACCAGCTTTGGAATGCTTTTAAGGAAAACTCACCCTAGGATCATTACAGCAATAAACCTTGCAGAGGAAGCACACTTTCAGTTTATGATCTGGGAACACCTGGTCACTGTAGGTACCAGAGCCAGCGAGCTGTGGCCAGACAGATCAATAAGTACTGCTTTTACAAAAATGAAACATTTAAAAAGTTAAAACCTATGAAAATATCAGGATTAGTATGCTAATTAGGTTAGGTAGGGAGTATCGGTGTTGGTAGCTACTGATATCAGCAGATGTTCAAGGATCTGTTATCGGTATCGCAAGGGAAAATGTGGTATTGGTGCCTATTGCTAACCATATTGCTATTTACCTGTTATAAAATGTTACTGAGCATTCTAAACCCCAATTAATGGGAAGATAGGCTACTCATACAGGTAACTAGACACAATGCACCTGTTGTTTTCTTAATATGTTACATAATATCCATGTTAGATATCAGTGAGCCCAAACAGTTCACTTGTAATTTGCTTTAAAACATAAAATTAGTGTTCTACCAGTGTCTACATATGTCAGATTAAATTCAATGCTTACTGTGACATTTTTATGACATTTTTATTATTTACTTATTTTTTATGGCATGACAGTGCTAAATATTTTGTCCAGTGCAGAGGTCAGTTTTAGGTTGGAACTATTTGTTCAAGTTTCTTTTAGATTAGACAGAAACCAGCTACTGTGATAAACTGTGCCAGCAAGTAAGTGTAGCAGGTCAGTCTAAAGGCAGTATGAGGTTTTGTTTTATATCAGAAATGTCACTCTAATGAGCCAAAATGTCTTTTTTTGGGAGAAAGAAGAAAAAAGAAAAGATGGATGAATGAATGACATTGATTGTGTTGTAGTTAAGACCCCATCAATTCAAATGTTCACTATTTAAAGACTTTTAAGTCTTAGTAGTTATAAAATTAAAGACAATAAAACTTCTAAGAAAATCTACAAGAAGACAAGCAATATTTCAGCAACATGTTTTCATGTTTTATAAAGTTTTACAAAGTTTTCCCACAGTCACTGGGCAGTGCAGCACTATGATAAATATGCAGAACCTGATTGGTCCACTTGTGTGTATTCAAAGTGTTGACTGGCTTGCAGATAGAACCTTATAGAACTAAGTTACGGCTTGACTTTGGAGATAGAACCTTTTTGTTTTCTAGAGTCAAAAAATGGAAAAACTCAATTTTGACAAAAAATATTAGATAGAACCTTATAATTTCAAGGGGACAAATTATGGAGTTTGTGTTTTACACACATAATCTATTAACTCCTTATGTGTTTTATTACACAGTTCTATAACCTAAGAATAGTTCAACAAGTTTTCATTGAAGTCCCTGAAGTTACTGAAAAATAAACCTTAGTATATAATGGGATTTTAAGTGGTTTACTACTGTCATTAAACAGAGATAACAGATAAACACAGTGGGCAGTTGAGTCTATGGCCAAACCACAGCTGTTTTGAGGTCAGCTGAGAACCAGTCGCTGCTGATTGGATAGTCTTGTCTCTCTTTCCACGTTGAATCTCATAAAACTCTTCTGAAACTACTGAGGCCTGAACTCCGGTGTCCTCGGGCTAGCTGTGAGCATGCTGCACATACGCACTTGCTCAGTCCATTCCATATTCTCTCACCCCATAAGCAAACACACACTCTTATAATAACAACTGTCAGTTAATCGGAGCTTACTTTGGTCTAATTAAAGTGAGCAATTACCAGCAGCCCCCTGCTGCGAACATCAGAGCCCCTGCACTGTGTGCACATATGTGTGTAATTAGCCACTCCCGAGAGTCCCCCTGGCTTTCATCATTGACTTCTGTGTATGGAGTTCAAACATTGAGCAAACATCCCCCACATGCACATGCACACCTCCTTCCACTGTCATTCGCTCCTGCTGTAGCCAGCTGTCTTCCCGGTGCTGTAGCCAATTCCCACCTGTTATTCCAAGTCTGTCTGCCTTTCAAATAACTAGGGAGAGTGGAGCAGATGTTAGTGAGGGGTAAAATATAATATGGATATTTTATGTAGTTAAAAATGTTCCAGTAGAACAAGCTTTTACTCATATGCTAATATTTCCAAAGCACCATCATCTGCAAATATTGATTGTGTATATATATTTTTCACCAACTGTTTTTGTCCTGTCAAAATAATTTTTGTAGTGTTTTTGGATTACTGAGTTGTATGTATAACTCTCAGAATTCAAACCTCTATTATTTTAAAAGCCTTCCCGGTGGCTGCACCATTTTGAAGCATGTAAACAACTCACAGTGAGAGCTAGCCAGGCTAAAATACAGCCTCCACATGAGGGATTTCTTTTTAACACAGTTTTATAACTAAGCCTCCCAAAGTAAACAATCAAAGAAGTCTATGTTCCCTATATACATTCAAAACAGTTCATTTTTGGGGGAGTTTTTATGTACAGATTCATAAAAAGTGTTAAAAAGTGTTTCTCGTAGATTTGTATACACTGGCTGAAGCTGGAAGCCAATACAGGTCTTCTAAAGTAATTCATTAGACTATATAACCAAGCACATGCAGACTTCCTATTTGCTCTCTTAGGCTTTCAGCTTAGTCCCACAGTATGAACTTCTTTTTACTATCCCTGATTGATTTTCCTGTAAACCCAGTGGGGGCTGCCATGACACCTCACTATTTCAGTTTGCTGGTTCTCTGTTTCCAGTCATGCTAAAGTTCCAGTAGTGGTAACCAGAGAATTTCTAGTGAGAAAAATTACATTGGTACAAACTACATGATTGAAACATGAGTTTGGGCTCAGCGTATGCTGTTGTAAGGTTCCACAACAACTCAAAGTTCTTGGAAAGTAGTTTCAAACACCAGCAGATTTGTAAACATCATCCATGCCCTGCACCCTCCAATTCATGCAAAAAAGAAGGAAAACTGACATGGCATGCAGCTCCAAAGAGGATCTATGCTCATAAAAACGTAATGCACAGCAAATAGGACATATCTGAGCATATCCCTACCCTTCAGGACTTCCCCATTCCTCTAATGCACAAGCAACCCACTCCACTTTTCCCTCAGCATCACCCATGCCTAGTGTTCACCTTGACTGACACTCTGACATGACTCCATGTCAGATTTCTGAAGAAAAAAAAAAGTTTCCATGTTTGCTTTGCAAAATCTTTCTTATTTTGTTGCTATAAAGGTAATTCAGCCACAATTTTGTGTTATTTACCCACTTTGTAAGAATATATGGGTGATGCACTGTCCAAACGCTGTCTCCACAGCTTTTTAAATGTCATCACTACACTCTAAAAACTGCTGAGTTGTTTTTTCTGCCCAAACACTGGGTTGCACCAGTTGAGTCAATATGTTGAGATATTTACAGTTGGCTTTGTGACTGTGTCACAATAACAGTCCAGCTAACTGGTTAATTTTCAAATCATAACAGCACCAGTTAGAACAGAGTTACAGCTTACAGGAATTGGTAAATAAACTTCCATAAAATATACGACTGTCATCTTTCATGGGTTTAACTCAGAACATGAAAATTAGAGACAAAATGTTTGATTTTATGCAGTGAAGTTCACTGTTTGTTGTGAATTCCCAAGCAAATGGTGATGGTAATGATGCACTGAATTCAATTAAGATAGAAAGGTAAATGGTTAGGGTAAATAATAATAATAATATATAATAATAATAAATAATGGCTAAATTAAATGTTTTAAACATGACAGATGTCCTGAAGTAAACTGGCATTACCCCAACTAACCATGAAAAACTAATCCCATCAGAATAGGGACTTAAGGCTACTCTTTAAAAAAACTCGGTAATGTTGTGTCCTGTGAATCTTTTTTTGGTGGCATTATGTTGAAATGAGATGACAAAACAGTGTGCGTTAAGAGAAAGTTCTAGCTTTACAAGACTGAGACAAGACTAACATTAATACTTCACTACTGAAAGCACTTGGTGGTGGACTATTTTTTACATGCTATTTAGTGTGGCAGTATGCAGTTTGGGACATGGCCAGAGGCTAACGTTACCTGATGTTTCACAGTGTTTTTTGGCAATTATATATAGTTAATG